TAAATTGAGGACTACCTACCTGTAATTTTATAGAAGTTGTGAAACACCTGCTTCAAGTAGCAATAACACTTAGACTTATATGCCGCTTCATAGTGCTTCCCAGCCCTCTCTAAGCGGTTTGCAGAGTCAGCCTCTTGCTCCCAACAATCTGGGTCCTCATTTTACTGACCTGAAGCGTGGAAAGCTGAGTCAACCTTGAGCCAGTGAGACCTGAACTGCGGTGATTAGCAGAAGTAGCCTTCAGCCCTGCATTCTAACCACTGCACCACCGTGACTCAAATAATCACCGACTTATGATAGGTTACTTAGCGACTCTTGAGAGGTACAACAGATCTTCTAGAAATGACTTATGATCCAATTCTGAAGCTGTAACAGCCGCTGCTGCAGCCACACGACCGCATTGTGGTTGCTCATCAACGAGTCTGCATAAATGGCCGATTGCAGTGTCCCGTGGTCATGTGATTGTGATTGACAATATTTTCGCCAGAAACTGGTTATTCCAGTTTCCAACAAAAACAGATTCGCAGCAGACATTGCCCCTGCTTAACAATTGCGGCATTCACATTAAGCATAGTGTTCGCTTAATGACCACCACAAAAAAGTTCATAAAATGGATACAGTCATGTGATGACCTGTTTCCCAAACAACACAACTTGCCAGGCTCTTATATAGTCTTAAGTTGAGGACTATCTGTACTATATGAGGTCTTATACGCTTTGGCATAGATTTTATCTGCATTATGTGTCACCCTGGAATGCTTATCTGATAGAAGAAGGGAGCCAAAAATAATGGGTGGAGGATCTGGAAATGTGGATAGAAAGGGCGTGATACCCGCCATGTCTGTAGATCCTGTAGGACATGCCAGTTGTTTTTGAGTATATGTAGGATTGCTGTCTGTAGAATTTTTCACGAAAGTAGGTTTAAGGTTACATTTGATATGATGGAGAAAGTTACTAATCTTAAACTTCATACAAAAGCCACAAGTGAAGCGGTTTGCTCATCTGAAGAGAAAGTCTTGGGATTCTACACCTAGAAAGCATATAGAAAAAGAGGAGAAGGCAAAAGAATGCAAGGCAGATCCAGAAGATGGAGAGACAACTTCAAAGACACAATACAACAGCATCAAATAACAATAGTTGAGGCAGCCAGAAGTGCAAGAACCAGAATTTTGTATCCCCCGGGACACATGAGGAGGTAAAACTAAAATCTTACGGTATCTCTGGACACCTGCATAACTGGATAGAAGCATTCCTGTCAAACAGACAACAAATGGTTAAAATTGGAAGCGACCTATCAAATTCTGTAGCTGTCAACAGTGGTGTCCCTCAACTCTGTGTTCTAGGACCAACTTTCTTCATACTCTACATAAATGACCTCTGTGATCATATTAAGAGCAACTGTGTTCTCTTCGCTGATGATGTAAAGCTATTCAACACCACAGACAATACTGCTACCCTCCAAAAAGACCTCAACTATGTATCAGAATGGTCAAACAAATGGCAACTTCAAATCTCAACAAATAAATGCTCTGTCCTACATATTGGCAAAAAAAAAATCACAAAATAAAATACAGGCTGAATAGTCAAGACCTTGTTGATGATCCAAACTCTGTCAAGGACCTTGGAGTACTCATCTCAAATGATCTAAGTGCTAGAGCCCACTGTAACTACATCGCCAAAAAGGCATTAAGAGTTGTTAACCTAATCCTACGTAGTTTTTTCTCTGGTAATATTACACTACTAACTAGAGCATACAAAATATTTGCTAGACCAATACTTGAATACAGCTCATCAGTCTGGAACCCACATTACGTATCTGATATTAACACAGTAGAGAAAGTCCAGAAATATTTCACAAGAAGAGTTCTCCACTCCTCTACTCGTTGCAGAATACCTTATGCCACCAGACTTGAAATTCTAGACCTAGAAAACCTAGAACTATGCCGCCTTCGGTCCGATCTAAGTATAGTATATAAAATCATACATTGCAATATCCTATCTGTCAATGAATACTTCAGCTTCAACCATAACAATACAAGAGCACACAATAGATACAAACTCAAAGTTAACCGCACCAAACTTGATTGCAGGAAATACGACTTCAGCCACAGAGTGGTCAATGTCTGGAATACTCTACCTGACTCTGTGGTTTCTTCCCCAAACCCTCAAAACTTTAATCTTAGACTGTCTACTATTGACCTCACCCCTTTCCTAAGAGGTCTTTAGGGGGCGTGCATAAGCGCACCAACGTGCCTACCGTCCCTGTCCTATTGTTTCTTTTATTTTTCTTATATGTATCCATGTATTAATAACTATGTTTATACTTATACCTATTATCTTGTAAGCAACTGACAAATAAAAATAAAAATAAATAAATAAATGAGCACTCCCCTCCATAGTTTACACAGGTTAGTTGCTAAGAACATGCCAATGCAAACCAGTTCAGTATGACCCCAAATCTTTAATGGTATGTGGGAATGATCTTGGGAGATAGGAGGAAGAGCTGCAGATTAGGCAAGATCAGAGATAGCTGAGCCCTTAGAAGGAATGAGGGCATGGCAAACATGTCATAAGGGACCCTCCCTAGGTTATTGGACCGTAAAGGGGAGGGGAGGGGAGGGGGAGAGTGTGGTAGAATGTCGTCTGGATTCCCAGGAGGCAGGGGCTGCATTCCAGAGGAGTGAAACACAGCAAAGTTTAGATAGCTTGCGTGGAAGGAAGAGACTGAAGATAACTCCTCCCGAATAGTTTCAGCGCGTACATTTCATGATGCAAGTCACCTGCTTCAGCTTGGCAACATTTCTGTCTGTGGCTGAGGAACAATAAAAGAGATTGTTTGGAAGAACCTCCGTGGATCTTTCTTGGCTTTTACAGCCTGACACAGAGAGAGATGCATTTTCTGTCTTACAAGATTCTGTTAATGTAACATCCAATAAAGTAAGATTTATAACGCCTTGGTAAGGACACACTTGGAATCCTGCATCCAGTTTTGGTCACCACGATGTAAAAAAGATGTTGAGACTCTGGAAAGAGTGCAGAGAAGAGCAACAAAGATGATTAGGGGACTGGAGGCTAAACCATATAAAGAACGGTTGCAGGAACTGGGTATGTCTAGTCTAGTGAAGAGAAGGACCAGGGGAGACACGAGAGCAGTCTTCCAATATATGAGGGGCTTTCACAGAGAGGATGGGGGTCAAGCTATTCTCCAAAGCACCTGAAGGCAGGACAAGAAGCAATGGATGGAAACTAATCAAGGACAGAAGCAACCTAGAACTAAGAAGAAATTTCCTGACAGTTAGAACAATTAACCAATGGAACAACTTGCCTCCAGAAGTTGGGAGTGCTTCAACACTGAACGTTTTTAAGAAGAGATTGGATAACCATTTGTCTGAAGTGGTATAGGGTTTCCTGTCTAGGCAGGGGGTTGGACTAGAAGACCTTCCAGATTCTATTCTATTCTATTCTATTCTATTCTATTCTATTCTATTCTATTCTATTCTATTCTATTCTATTCTATTCTATTCTAAAGAGCTAGTCCTTCTGGGTGTGCTTTTTGTCTGGATTTCTTTGCCACCTCTAACTAGCCCCGCCCCCATCTATTCTCTGCCTCCTGAGTCCCAGCTGATTGGCTGGGTTTTCTTTGGTTGCCCTGCACAGGAGAACGGAGCTGGAAAGTAGGTTAGTGGGGTGGGGAGGGAATTGAGATTTTACAGTATCCTTTCCTTGCCATGCCCACCAAGCCATGCCCACAGAACCGGTAGTAAAAAAATTTGAATCCCACCACTGCCGCAATCATTCACTTAACAACTGAGGCAAAAAAGGTCGTAAAATGTGACAAAACTCACTTAACAAATGTCTCACTTAACAATAGAACTTTTGGGCTCAATTTCGGTTGTACATCGAGGACTACCTATCACCCACTCACACCATTATTTTTGCAGCCCTGGAGCTCCCAAGATTGCACTGCTAAAATCAGATGGCATAATTTCTTAAAAGATAGAGTAATAAAAACAAAATAAAGCTAAAATAGCGCATATATATACAGTCCTCTCCACTAACACCAACTTATTCCTGACAAATTTCCTGCAGTCTTTGGAGGAATATATATATATATATGTTTTCGTAGATTTTCATGGGTACAGGTATGCACTGGCATGAAGCCGAAAGCACCAGCCTGAGGATGGCGAGTGGGACCTCGCCGAAACATCGCCAAGATACTCTTAATCTTACAAGTTTAAAAGCACAACTATAATGACATGGGAAAATACCCGAACAAAGCTGAATACCATACATACATACATACATACATACATACATACATACATACATACATACATACATATATTTGTTTTCTGAGGTTCTCGCGGGTATTTGTATGTGGATCTTTGGTTATTCGGGTTTTCTCCCGCGTAAGATTGGAAGTATCTAGGCAATGTTTCGATGAAGTCTCATTCATCATCTTCAGGCTTGTGTCTTCTGCTCTGTGCTTCTTTACTCTGAGAAGCACAGAGCAGAAGACACAAGCCTGAAGATGATGAATGAGACT